ATATTTCACCCTTATAAAAAGCTCATGCTTACCTGGGAAGAAGCAAATTGATTCTTACTTCTATCCAGTTGTCAGTTAGCATAGTGTTAGATCTTTTCTCTTTCTTCAGTGTTGGGGATTGACCCAGGCTTTGTGTGTACTCAGTGCTCTACCACTGAGCAGCATCCTCAGCCCATAGCCCTAAACCTTACATCCCGTACTTGAATTCCAGATTCTTTGCCCTCCCCACTACACACACAACTATTAAACATGTAAATGGTTGCAGCCATTTACTATATTTTTGGGTGCCCCGCTCCCTCCACCTCCTCTTCTTCAAAATCTACTCTCAACAGCCACTGCCAAAGAGTTTACCTAAACAGCCATGGTCATTCCCTCTGGTGCTTCTCCTGAACACAGCTGATTGGACTGGGGATGGACATCTGATCTAATGTCTACCAATCTGTTGGCTAGCCAGGAGCCAATCAGATTCAGACTTTTTTTTCTTTCTTTTCTTTTTTTAAGAGGCTGGATCTCCGATTTTTCCCAGCTGGTTTCCATCTCTGGGCTCAAGTGAGCCTCCTGCTTCTGCCTCTCCAATGGCTGGCAGCACAGGGTACACCACTACACCCAGCTCAAACTTCAAATTTTGAACTCAGAAAACCAGACGCTATAGTAAGTAGCTATCTCAACTGAGAAATCATGCAGAGTCTGGTGCTGACAAACCCCACCAGATAAAACAGGCCGCTCTCTTGGGTGGGTGAGAAGAAAAGGCAAGCTGGTCTATAGTTAGAAGAGTGTAGCTGTGCTTTCAATTCATGTGGTAACCAAGAAAGAGAGCGAGACAAGAGTAGTTGCTTTGGCTTGTGGGACTTTCTGGTTCGCAGTCCCACTTCTCACGCTTGGCTTCAGTGAGGTTTTCCTGTATCCTTTCAATAATCTCATGAGCAAGCTGGAGTGAATTTCCATCCTCTGCTTAGAACTCAACTGGGACGAAAGCACTGGCTTTGGAGAGAAGTAAAGATTCTCAAGCCTTAGTTTTCTCACTGGCAAAAAGCTCAAAATCCCTTGCTTCCAAGGAAGCATAAGAATCCGCAGTGTATCATGCCAGTGCTGGGAAATAAGCAAAGACTCAGAGACGGAAAGCTGAGGCAGGAAAAATTCAGTTGACTCATCTCCCCACTTCCTGTCCTGGCCTGAAGTCCCAAGAAGAAGGAAACAATCCTGGAAAGTTGGAGGCAGCTTTGCTCAGCACAGAAATTAGAGCAACCAGGACCTTGACATCACCACTCTATAGACTAGTTATGCCTGCTGGAGGGTGCAGCCAATGTGGTTTTTGAGGCACAAGAATATACTACAAGGAGCCATCCCAGGCACTGTTGCTTATATCAAGAGCGGAGGGGTTTCCAAAGACAAAGCAACAATGGCTGCTGTAGCCCTGGCATGGCCTGCTAGGTGGTACAGCTACCAAAGCTGTTGAATTTTTCTATGGGTGACCCTGTTCATCACTGGAGGAAAAAGAGAACAGTCCTTTTCTCTGTGAGTCCCCAGGCTCTCTGATCAAAAATACTTTCCTTAAGGTCACTCAGGCTCTGCCCTGGGTCTCTGACTTCTGCCCATTTATGTTCTCTGGGATAGACTTGTCTGCAGCGCTGGAAGCATACACCTTCCTGAGATCCTCCCTGCTGTTGCCTGCCTCTAAGTTTAAAGGATCAATTAACAGCATGAATTCTCACTACCTGTGACCACCAGGCCACAGGAAGGTCCCAGAGAATCCTTTAGCAGCAGTTTTCCAGGGAGCTCTGTGGTCGTCTCTACCAGCAGCGTCTCTCCCCAGTTCACAGCCTCATCAGCCATGCTTTCACCCACTTGCCACCTGAGATCAGTCCATTCTTAGCCTCCCCCAGGCCTCTGTAGAAGGAGCGACTTCACTCTTGGACTCTAAGGAATCATTTAATCTCTTCGCCTATTACTTCAGCCACAAAATGGTTAAAATGCCTACCAATGAGGTTGTTTCATAATTCTGGTGGAAAGATCCCATGCAGTACACAGCCTGGTGTCTGGTGTTCACTGTTTATAGACTTGGAATCACTTTCCAGATACATCTCTTTAGATGTATCCGAGAGCACAGAGGGCTGGCATGCTCACACCTCCACGTCACCTCACGGCTGTGGTTTAAGCCAGGGGGCCCCCTGGCAAGCAGGTGGAGCCAGAGGTAGCTGGATTCCTCTATTGACCCTCCATTTGAGGGACTCCAATTAAGTAAGAGGGCACACAGGCAGAGAGACCTGGCACCCAGTGAGATCCGGGGGATCTCTGACTGGGGCTGCCACCCAAAAATGCCAATGGAAATGCCTCAACTCGCCCACCATGTTCCAGGTCAAAGGCATCACAATTGGGTCTTTGTTCCAGAGTTCAGAAGCCTCAATCACTAACTCTTCCCAGCTCCCAGGATGCCTCCCATGCCTCCCTCCCCACCCCGACGGTCAGGTCTCCAGCTTCCCAACCAGGGAACCACCTCCCAGCATCAGCAATTTGCCCCCCCTTCCTTTCTCCCCTCCACCCACTTAGTTCCTCTGGTTAAGCTAGTTGTACACTCCAGGCCTCCTGGCTTCTGATAGCGACAGGTAGACAGGTGACCATAGCACTCCAGGTCCCTGTGCAAACACCTGCAGATGTGTAGCCATCTTCACTAAAGGGAAAGATACAAAAGCAGAACAAAATCCATGTTCGGTGAGGCTCTCTTCACCCAACACCCAGGGCCTATTGAGTCACCCAGCACGGAGTTCAGACTTGGGAATGGGCATGCAGAGAGGTCATTTCTTGCAGCTCCCACTTCTAAGCAGCCACAAGGTTACCTCCATTTACAGAAAGGATAACTAAGGCCCAGGTAAGTGGAGGGACCTGAAACCACCCAGCCTGCAGGTCACAGGTAAAATTCTGCTTCTAGTGACAGCTACTGTCTCATAGGGTCTGTGTACCAGACTGCCAGGTTGCTCCTGCCACAGGTGGTGATGGGGGCAGCTTGAGCCTCCTTAGACAGCCATGGGGAACTCTGTGGAGAGTCTGCAGGTGTTTCTACTGTGTCCAGGCCTAACACAAACTCTACTTTTTCAAAGTACTCCTTCCCCCATGCCCAGGCAGAACTCCAAGTATTGCTAGAGTCACGTGTGGGATGGGAAGGGAGAGGGCACAAATGCCCCTGGGAATCATGGAGGGTTAAAGCAGCACAGACTTCCTTTTATGTGGAGTCTCTTTTGCCATCTTGGCCAGTGAATGACCTCTAAGACACCTCCTATACTTCTACCCCTGCTGCTCCAGGGTAATACAGTTGTGGTGGTGAGACAGGGCAGGTGCAATGGTAGAAGGATCCCTAAGGAAGAATTTCTGGGAAGACTTGACCTTGGACAGAGAAGTAAGCCCCTTTCTTTCCTAGGTGCAAGCTCCCAAATGTACAACCCCTCTCCCTCACGCTGGCATCTCCCATTACACCATGAATGGCGCTTAGGGCTTCCAGAGCCAGACCCACAGCAATGGCAGATTCCTTATGGGGGGGTGAGGCTGGTGATAACAACAAAAGGAAAAGCTGTGCAGGAAGGGGACCAGTGTAGCAGCCACCTAGAGTGATGGTTCAAGGCCTTATGTCGGAGCCAGGTAGGCAGTGTCACTGCTGATTACCTGGCAGTGGCTCCAGATACAAGAGCAGAGTTTGACCTATCTGACAGGGGAACAGGTTGTGAAAACTCCAGAAGCAAGAGGAACAAGAGTCAGGCCGGTGTTCACATCAGAGCCCTGTGTTCAGGGAGTGCACTCCTGAGCAGCTGCATCAGGAGCCTGAACCCACATCCCTCTGACGGCCCACTGGGATTTCCTCAATCTCTCTGCAGCTACCTGCCACACAGAGGCATAGGAGTCAGGAGCTCAGGAACAGCCCCGTCTGTTTTTGACCTCAGGAGACTCTCTTCCCTCAATCTTGGCGCCTCACTCACTCTATATACAGAGTGGGCACAGCAGTCCTTTGGTTTGCCTTCTTTTCAAAATATTGAAAAGGAAAAGAAGGGACAGGCTGAGGAGAACAGGCCTTTCCCCTCTGGAATGTCCACCAAATATAGTCCAGAGAGCTCCTGTGCTCCAGCAAACTGAAACCGAAACAAGACCCCTCTGGAGCCCATTCAAACCCCAGGTGTGGGTAAACTGCTGGTGGATGTCCTGGGTACAAGGCCCATTCCTGGTCCAGCCTGGCCACATGAGCTTACAGTGCCGGACTGACAGATGTGGGGGTCTCCTTTCTCCACCTGCCATGACTTCTGCTGCCAAAGGATACCAAGGGGCTTTGGCCCACTCTACAAGAACCGTGAAACCAGCAGTCCCTGGGCAGCCATCAGCATGCCCCCTATGTCAGTTCCTAATAATAGAGTGCTTGCTGCAGGACCCTCCCTAGCTGTGGGACCTGGCTTCATCCCCCTGTCTGGGCCCTCTTCCCAGGTCCTGGCAGCCTCCCGTTAGGCAGGGGGCAGTCAGCTCACCACCCAGACACTAGCCAACTCCCACAGGCCTGGTCCTTCCTCAGACAACTCACTAGGGGCAAGGAGGAACTCTGGACCCCATGGTGATGTCATGGCCACTTTCCCCACCAGCTGGTTCTCCTGTTTCTGCCTGGACCCTGGCTTGGAATATGGCCCCAACACGGGAAGCTGCTGTTGGGCATTCCAGAGCTGGAAGCCACCTTCTCCTCGGGCCTCGGACGGCACAGGGTCCCTGAGCAGGAGCTGCCACCCTGGCCTTGCATTAACACAAGTCGGTTAATTACCCCCAAGTCTGGGAGACATTCTTCCACCACCAGGCAAACTGCTGGCCTGCAGCCCAAACCAACAGGGGAACTTCAGACTCCTCAGCCCTCTCCCTGCCAGATGGAAATAACGTATAGCTGCAGAGGTGGGGGGAGGAGGAAGGGAACAAAAACCAGCAGGGCCTGAGAGCCAGGCAGCAACCCCCCAGTGGGCAGCCGATGGCTGGACACTCACCGCTCTCGTTCTTCTCGATGACATCCACCACCTCCCCGGCCTGGAGGCTCAGCTCTGAGTTCTCCTGCTTCTTATAGTTGGACACCACCACGTACTGTTCCAGGATCATGGGCTCGGCGTTGGTGTCGGCACCTGGCGAGGGCAGAAAGCATGCGGTGAGCCAGCGGCCAGCCATGGCCCCGCGGCCGGGGCGCCCCCTGTCCATCGGCCTCGGGGGAGGCTGCTCGGTCGCCAGTGCTGCTCCGAGGGGCAGCCCCCAGCCAGGGCTCGCAGCTCACTGGGCCCCAAGGACAGGCCATATAGCAAGGCCCCACACCGGCCCGCTGCACTGCGGGGACCGGGGGACATGGGGAGCCAGGGGACAGGGGGAAGAGAAGGGGGGAGGAGAGAAACAGAGGGAGAAAGAGGCCAAGGAAAGTGAGGGAAAAGCCTGCTGCTGCGAAGAGTTAGTCACAGCCCGGCATGGGGGAGTCTGTGGAGAGGCCTGGGGCCGACGTGGTCCCTGCAGACCCGGGCTGGCCGGGGTGTGAGGGGAGGGCTGAGAACAAGCGGTGGGCGGCCCATGAGTGCTGAGGCCGCAGCGCAGGACAGAGAAAGAGAGGCAAGGGGCAGGCCCAGGACGAGGCCCGGCCTCTACCCCAAGCCTGGAAACCCAGAGAGAAAAGGTAGCTGTGCTCCCCTCGGGCGGGAGAGGGAGAGCGGGAGAGGACTTCTCCGCAGCCCAGGCCCGGTGAGGAGTCCAGAGACTCTGAGGCCGCCAATCACTGGGGCTTACTCGCAACCCTTAAATAGAAACACATGAGACCCATCAAATGAGGAGCTGGGGGTGGAGGCAGGGGAGGGAGGAGGGCCCAGACTGTTTACTTGAAACCCAAGAAGAAAGTCCCAGCGCCAGCGCCGGCAAGCCCAGCCCACCCCCCGCCAACTTTTCCTCAAGTTCGGCTCCATTCCTGTCTCTGTGTCTCACAGAGGGCTGGGCAGATGCTGCCTCACTCAGGCCGCTGGCCCAACCTCGTGGAGGCTGCCTGTCTCCCTCGGCCCCTATGCTGGGCTTGTGCTCTTGTTCCACCAGCCTCCAGTCACACTTTCAGGAGCTTGAGGGATCAAAGCCTGGGGGGTAGCAGAGAGAGGCCAGGTAGGCCCCAGGCTCTCAGGAGCAAGCAACTTGTCTGTCTCCTTGGCCAACTGTGACATACATTAGACAAGCAGCACCAAGCTGGGGTGGACAGCCAGGGTGCCCATCTTGGCTTGGATGTGCTGTGTAAACCTCTTTGTGCTTTCACTATGACATCACTGGTACTTAATATGTTTATATACCCCGCTAGAACCTAATAGAAGCCACAAGCCAGAGACTGACTAGTCACCTCCTTCAGGAAGCCTTCCCAGACCACCTCAGCCCAAAGGGAATTCCTCCTCCACCTCTTAAACCTTATGTTTGTCAGCCAGGCATAGTGGTGCACACCACAGTCCCAGCCCTCAGGAGGTTGAGGCAGGAGGATCTCAAGTTCAAGGCCAGCTTGAGCTACATATTGAGACTCAGTCTCAAAACCAAAACAAATGCAAAACTCTGTATTTACCAATCGCCTTGTAGGATGGGGGCTTCCCATCACTAACCTGGTCATAGAAACCACTGATGCTCTCCAGACTCCATACGCTCCCCATTGTGCCCCAACCCACAGCCACTGCCCCAGGCATGTCCCAACACCTCTGTTCTTTTCCCTCCGAGGCTCAGAGAGGGCAAGAGACTCACTCCAGCTTCCACAGCTACTATGGAGGGAACCGCATGCACTCGCTGTTTGGTTTTTAGGTTCAAGCCCATCTTTCTCTTCTCTTACAGGGCTCAGATTTCTGTTTCTGCACATGTTGTTCTAACACAGAGATCCTCCACATGGGAGCAGAGAATCACCTGAGGACCTTTCTAAAAGCCCAATGCCTGGGCTTCAGCAATCCACGTTTAACTGGTTAAGGTACATGCACGAGTGTTTTGTACACACCCATCTTGCCCTGTGGTTCCAGTGTGCAGGCAGGAATAAGAAGCACTGTTTAGATCTTTCAGATCTTTGTGAGGGCAGGAGGTGATGACCAGGGAACTCTGGGAAAGCCTCAGGAGGAGGTTCTCCTTAGAGGACAAAGAAACCCATGGCCCTGGTACTTTTCCCCTATGCAGTGTGAGCCTCCCAGCCCCATCAGGGCCCTTTGGAGACCCAGAAGGGACCCTGTCACCAGTGAAGTGTGCCCATGGGTATGCACATGCAAGCTCTGGCAAGCCCCTCCAAAGCTAGGGTTGTATTTCAGGCAGAAATGCAACCAACAGCTGGGAGCAGGCGGCCCCGCCTCTGCACACAGACACCAGCTTCTGCACTTGTGCCTGCCAGCAGGACAGCAGCAGCACTGGGCACTGGGCTGACAGGCAGCCTCCCAATGTGCCCTGGGGGACTTCAGTGCCCTTCTGGAAGCATCTGGGGCCCTGAGTACTTCCTAAGTATGCAAGCACAAAAGGGGCCGACCTCTGCCTATGGGACACAGAGGCTCCTGTCAGTTGGAGGGGAGGCCCTGATTGTGAAAAGTGGGAAAGGGATACTCAAAGATCCAAACAGGAGAGGCATTCCACAGTAGGTCTGACACCTTCCAAGACCTGAGAGTGTGCTGATCATCTGGGTAACTGAGCCTCCACCAGGGCCTCCTCTGCACAGAGTCTGACTGCAGTGTTGTCCAATGACCTAATGCAATAGGCCCTGTTACAGCTCCATTTTCCACATGACACACTGAGTCTCACGAGGGGGAGCTACTTTCCTAAGGTCAAACATTTGGGACTGAATCCAAGCTCCCCTGACACCATGCCTGTGATCTTACCTGCACCACATATGGCCAACAGGTGCCATGGTTGCCTGGCCTCCAGTGAAGGCCCTATACATCCTCAGACACCTGGCACACAGGTGGTGCCTAAGACTCCTAAGAATGGAGTGTGGGCTTCTTGTTGACTCTTGGTACCTATATCGACCACAGCATAGCATCTGTTAGTGGAAGACGCTCCATGTTTGTGACATGAATCAATTGCTAGACATATGGACAGTGATTTGATGGCTTGGTGGTGGATCTGGATAGGCAGGTCTCACCTCTCAAAGGGGAAAACTATACAAGTGGACTGGAAGGGAAGAAGGTGAGATGGGGAAACTGAGGTAAGAAGAGTAAGGAGTTTTGATCTGGGTTTGGCCAGCAAGGACAAAGAGGAGGTGCCAACAAGTGGACAGACATCAACTCAATCTGACTCAAGAAAAGAGAAACCAAAGACAAGCTTGCAAATTGAAGGCAAATCAATGCACCCACATCCCTCCTCCACAGCCTTCCTAGAAGACTGGCTGCAGCTTCCCAAGGCCAGTCCTTGGCACTCGGGGACACAGGTAGAAAAGGAAGAGAGCAGCTTCCACCGCTGCAGAGCACAGGCAAAGGCTGTGGGATGGACACAAAGACAAGTACACTCTGTCCTTCTGGCTGCCCTCTGCCCCCGGCTGCAGCAGATGCAGGCTCTCAGCTCAGCCTCTCAGCATCTGCCTCTTGGAATATTGCTGTCCGGGCAGGAGGCGGGTAGGCAGGCGCTGAGAGCAGGTATCCAGATGAGAAACCGCTCGGCCCGCCAGGCGGCTGGTGGGCAGTGATGTCATCCCATACAGGCAGTTCTGGATCCTCTCCCAGCCAAGGCTTGGAAAATTGGGGGCTGGAAGAGTCTGCCTGAGGGAGGGGAGGGGCAGTGGTAGGAGCCCATGTTCAGATGAGAGGACTCTGGTAGAAGCACAGAGCAGGGGTGGGCCCCTTCTAGAGGGCAGAGCCGCTCCAAGGCTGGAAGGGGAGTTCCACAAGGGGTACACCCTTGTATTTCTTTACAGACTCCCTGGCTGGGCCTGCTGGGGTCCTGGGGTGTCCCTGAGATCCCTGCCCCACCTCTGCCTCACACCTGCATTCCTCCAGCTACCACCTGGATGGAACCCTGGCTCTTGCCTGATCCTGGCTGCCAACTTAAACTTCTAAATCAGGCCTTTGCCAAGTCAGTCCCCTACTCCAACACCTTCAATGGCTCCCTGGTGCCTATAGAATAAAGGCCAAATTCAAGCAAAGTCTTTCTTGCAATTTGAGCCCCCCAAGTTCCCTGATCCCTCCCATTCCAAGCAATATTCATGACTCAACATGCATGTACTGAGTACCTACTATGTGCCAGTGACACTGTTCCATGCAATCTCTTCCTGCTATACAGCCCATGCCCTCTGCCCAGAATGCCTTCCCTTCTCTCTGCCAATCCCAGTTCTACCCAAGCATTTTTGCCTGTCCAGGAGCCTCCCTCACCACTCCAGCCATGATACCCTTTCCTGGACCTTTGTTTGGACATGGCTTACTGCCAGACTGTGGGCTTTAGCTCCAGCATTTCCCTGATGTGCGTCCATACCCTAAGATTCACACTCAAGATGTAAAATCTTAGAGTTAGTCTGAGGGCTGATGTCCAGTCCTGCTTTGCCTTTGCTTGGTCTGTGACCCTGGGGAGGATACCTAAACTCTCTGAGCTTTAGTTTTCTCATGTGTAGACAGAAATCATAACAGTACCTCCTGTGGCTGTTTTGAGCATGGAGTGAAGTGACAGGGGTTAAAGCTCCATGTAAACTAAAGACAGCTGTTTATAGAAAACAGAGGGAATGGGAGACGTGGGGAGGAGCTAGAGAGGCCTTGTCTCCTCCTCTGCCTGGGAACCAGCAGGCAACTCAGGGCAAGGGCTACAGGAGCCAGGAGGAGGGCTGGGAGGTCCATGCTGTGACCCTGCAGCAAGCCTCTTCCAGACCCCCCTCCAGGCAGGCGGTGGACACCTGGCAGCTGGAGAGAGAGCCAGCTTACAGCCCTCTGGGTGGAGGTCAGGCTCAGAAGCTCCAGGACCCTTATGTATTAGGATCTCTGGCATCAGCTGTCACCTCCTGTCTCATTGGATTCTCCAACATTCCAGAAGGGAAACCAAGGCCCAGAGAGAGCTGACTTGCCTTAGATTCAGCCCTGGACTTTCAATCGGGCTGCGTTCCCCCGCCCCCCCTGCCCCCAACTACAGCCCTTGGGTCTGTGGCTTCAAACAGCTGGGCTCACCCGAGAAGCCAGGCCCTGTGGTGGCTCCTCCCCAGGCTTCCCATCACCCTCCCCGTCCAGGCATCCTACTGGCCCCTCAGCTATACGTTTGGTGAATAGAATGTATCACTGTGGGCCAAGTGAGCTCCAGCTCACTGGCTTGTGTACAGGGGAAAAAGGGATGGGCGCCCAGCGATTAGCTCAGGCCCAGGCCCGCGTCACAGGGAACACCAGAAGGACGACTGCAAGGGAGGGGCCCTCCCCCATCCTTTCTCTCCTCTTGGCCCCTCTCCTGGGAAGTCCGCCCCCATTCCCTGCCAGCAGCTGTGGCTTCAACCCTGGAGCTGGCCCAGCCCCCCTCTGACACTTGACCCTATGCCTTGTTCCCTAAACTCCCAGCCTGAATCTTTGCTCTCAGAAACTATGGGGCTGCACAGGAGACCCTCTGGACATACCACCCCTTCCCCCACCCACCCCTCAACACTGAAAATCCTGCTGTCTGAGTTTTTCTGCCATGATGCAGTAAGACACTAGTCCCTGACCAGTGTCCCCACTCTGCCAGACAGAGGGCAAGGCCTGAAATCCCCTGAGGCTGGAGGCAGCTCCAAGCTCTGGACTGCTGGGTCACAGGGGCTGTGACCAACCCTCACT